ACTTTTAAAAATGCAAAAATAAAATAAAATAAAACAAAATACAAATAATAAAAAAATTGTTACTGTAAACATTTCTGGTATTACGCTGCAGGCATAATGGCCAAATTCTTCGTCAAAGGTTTTAGTGCTTACTAGGTTAGGGTCAGTCCCACTTGTGGTTAAGTGTGCATCCACTGACCTTTCCAGCCTCCAGCTCTTTCTGGGCCAGCTCCACTAGTGAGCGCACCTTGGCAGCAATGCAGAGATATTTAAAGAAGCGCTGGTGAGACGACCAGAACTGTCCCCATAAAGACTTCCTGCTGACCAGGCCCAGCTCGTCAGCCGCCTGCATGAACACCTGCAATGCCTCCGCCCACTGCAAACACATTCAAAGCTGTCACCTCTCAAGCTTTCTGACGGGGAAAAAGAAGCCTTAAAAGGACCTACGACCAGTTGGAACATTATTATTATATTAACGTTATTTGACAAACACTTACTTCAACTGTAAAATTTTTTTTTAAAAACTGTAAAATTACTGTAGGCTGTTCACTTTTTATAAATTAAAAAATATATATATTGTCACATGGAAAGAGCCAAATTATTTACACAGGTGTTCATACTGGGTAAATGATGACGTTTACTAGGTCCTCAGTCTTGTTAAATAAAACCAGTTCACGTTGACATAAAGGACAATGCAGAAATGACTCAGCCTGTAACTGAAAATGATGATGGAGGAGAACAGAGCTGCTTCATGGAAGAAGAACCTCAGCTTAGCCTGTTTGCTTTTGTGTTAGCGCCTGAGCTAGCATATATTTATATGGCAATATAGCATTAGCGCCCAGAGCTAATACGCATATATATATATGGTATATAGGGTTAGCGTCCAAGCTAAAGTCACAAAGATATGGTGCTTTAGCATTAGTGCTAATGCTAAAGCTATCAGGATAAGCTGAGTTTCTCCTTCCATGAAGCAGCTCTGTTGACCTCCATCTGCATTTTCAGTTTCAGGCGAGTTATTTTGACATTCTCCGTCAGCACATCCTGGTTTTATTTAAAAGCGCTGATCATCATATTGTCCAAGATGAACCTTCAGGGTGGATCAAGCTCGCAGCCTCGCACCGGAGGACCTAGTAACCATCATCTACCCAGAATGATTTGTGGCGTAAATAATACGGCGCTGTCAGTATGACCATATATCGTTTAAAATATAGAAAAACTAAACAGCCAGAGTCTTTGTTTTACAGTTGAAATAAAGATTTATCAAAAAACATCTGATGTTACAACTAGCTGGGATTCATTTTAAAGAAGCATGAAACTCACCAGCTTGGCAGCTTTGTTGTAGACCTCTCTGATGTCACTATCCAGTCCAATCTCCTCAATGCGGAAGGCTACACCAGAAAAGCTTAGCTGTCTGGCAATATACATCCCGCTCACTTTCATGTCCATGGCCACAATCTCCATGGCTCCGACCCCTCTGTACGCAAAAAAAAAATAAATAAATAAAAAAAACCATGAAGGATTTATATGATTTCTTTATGGGCCGTAACTACAAAGTGACTTTGCAATGATTTACACGTCTACAATGGAGTTCTCTCTGCGTACCTCTTCTCGATGGCATGCAGGAAGTCTTCAAAGGTTCTGAACGGTGTGCCTTCACCCCATATTCCCAGGCGGCTCATATAAATCATGTTCTTTGGCTCAGAGGCACCTAGACGACATGACAATGTCAGTGTTTTAAAAAGGGGGTCTCTGCAGAACATGTCCTGTGGGCGGAGACGGCTCTACCCGTGATTGGCGGAAGTCTTGATGTGGGCGGAGACGGCCCAAGAGACGTGATTGGTCGGATTGATGGTGAGGTTTGAGGAGGCTGGAGGCAGCGGGGAGTATTGGTCGAGTCGGGCAGGAAGCAACATGTTTTATTAAGATTAATTGTAGTCATAACTTGAGAAAAGAAAGTGCTAGCTGCATGAATTTGAATGTCGTGCATGCAAAAGGATGTGTAACAATATGGCTCGGTTAAAACACCCCTAACCAGCCTGTAAAAAGATCACTAAAAATCAATATTTTTTACAGGCTGGTTAGGGATGTTTTAACCAAGCCATATAGTTACACATCCTTTCACATGTATGACGTTCAAATTTCGTGCAGCWAGTACTTTCCTTTCTCAAGTTATGACTAAAATTAATCTTAAAAAACATGTTGCTTCCTGCCCAACTCGATCAAGCTCCTCCCCGCTGCCTCCAGCCTCCTCAAATCTCACCATCAATCCGACCAATCACGTCTCTTGGGCCATCTCAGCCCACATCAAGACCTCCGCCAATCACGAGTAAGGCCGTCTCCGCCCACAATAAGACCTCCGCCAATCACGAGTAAGGCCGTCTCCGCCCACAATAAGACCTCTGCCAATCATGAGTAAGGCCGTCTCCGCCCACAGGACAACATGTTCTGCAGAGACCCCTACTTGGTTTTAAAAGGCCTCTTGCAGTTCCTAGTTAGCATCAGAATTCATATGTCTGTCGGCCCACCTGTGGCACTGGCGTACACCACTCTGGCCTGTGGCAGGTTGTTCTGCAGGTCAAGCACTGCTTTGCCCATTTTTGTAGACGTGGCGTTCTTGGCTTTGTGGCATTCATCAAAAATAATCTGTAGTAGTGAGGTCAAGGGAAAACAAAGCTAATCTGCAGAACAGATTGTTTTGTGGACGATTAAATACACTGTTAGAAGTCAGGTTCAGCTCAAAATCAACAAGCACATATCGTCATGTCAATGCCAGAGTTTTAGACTAATATCTTCTTATGCTGATTAAAGACACTGGTTCGGTCAAACTGCCCTTGGGTCAAAAGGACCCACATGGCCCGAGTCTTAAAACTGAGGTCTTGTGGGATGTTTTGACCCAAGGGCAGGAGGAAGGTTAAAAACTTTAATACTGGTGACCGTATGTTGTAAATGGCATATACTACAACACTAAATTATTACTAAATATCAGTAAAAATGACAATTATAACCATTTTCTAAGGTCAGCTGGCTGTGGTAACCATCTTGATTTTGGATGATCCCAAAAGTTATTCAACTATAGATGTACATGTAGGGTTGGGTGACCGAACCCTACATGTACATCTATAGTACAATACAACCCAACTTGGGTGGTATTGACTTCTTTCATACCGACACATTACCTTTGGATAATACAGCAGTGTGGGATATTATAGGGGCAGGGCAAGAAGGGGCGGAGCTTGTATAGTTTGTGGAGTGTTGAGTTACTTTCTCCTGCTCTCGCTGTCTTTCCATTGCTGCCAAACTTCATTAAATTTCCTTGTCTTTTTATTTTCTTCTTGTAGATTTTTATGGCTCATGTCAAATAACACTGAGCCTCGGTCAGAAAGGAGGTCACGGGGGCTGTGTTTTTTCAGCTCAAAAGGATGAGACTAATGACGAATCGAACTGTTTATTCCATGAGACTACCGTGTTTCCTTTTGCCTGCGGCGCATCAAATAGTACGGTCTTGTTCAGAAAAAAGTGGTGTAAACTATTTATCATAACAGCAGTATTATTTAGCTTAAATATTTGCTAAACACACACACACACATGTATATATATATGAAGTTTATTCATTTGAACGATACATATCTTGTGTTTGAAGTGTATTCAGCTGAATATAGGTTCTGTTTTGTATACTGCTTTACACAATGTCCCAACTTCATTGGAGTTGTACACAAACATAGGCAAAAACATCTTTGTCCACCTCTGGCTTTTGGCGACAGATGACAAAGAAAGGATACAACTCCATCAAAGTCCGACTTGCACCAGTCCAGGATCTGCCTGATCCTCGTCCGGTGCTGCCCTCCCGCTTGACTCTCTCCAATCAGTGCAGAGTAAGTTGCAAACAGGACTCCTTCTGAGGTAGCTGTGTCTCCATACTTTATCTAACAAAACATTGAAACAGTTCAAAAGTTAGGATAATGGCTTCTGTTGTGCTGTATGCATTTATTTGGACACCAACTCCCGCCTGAAGTCACCTTGTTTAAGGCGTGCACAGGAATATTCTGTGCGTTTATGTCTTTGAGATCTCGTTCTGCGTCAAATTTCAGGTCATTGGATATGCTAAACCTGAGGGCAGAAACAACAACAGAAAAAAAGGGGGAAAGAGATCTGTTAGTCCAACCCAGTTTTCCACGAACAAGCTCCTACGTGCCTCAGATAACCTTCCATCTGACACTTTTCAGACCTGGTACCAAAACTTTTCTTACCACAGTGATTTCTTCCTTCCCTTAAGGAAATTCTCCAGGATGATTCCTGCCACGGTGCGCCCCTTCCCGACACCGGCCCCATCTCCAATCAGGAAGCCCGCCCTCTGGTTGTTCTGAAGGATCACCTCGTGTTGCTGAAGGGACAACAAAACAAGAAGACGCAGGCAGAAATTAAACATTAATAACTGAACATTCAAAAAACGATTCAGTTTATGAGTTGTGTTTTGACGCGAGCACCTGGCAGGCGTAAATGACAGCTTCAAGCTGCAGCGCAGACAGTAGGCCACTGTCAATGGTTGACTTTGGGATGGCCAAAGTGTATGTGACGTCAGGAGGAGGGACACTGGATAGCGTGTTGGTTTCCACCACTATGTCAGGATGAGAAATTCCTACAGTGGCTGAAAAGAGGAGGCAAAAACGTCAATCTAAACCTATACCAGCGATAACAAAACGGTACAAAGGTGTGTTGTTTATTAACATACATTTAGAAGGTTTGTACTCAGCGTATGTGTCAACGTGTCCCAGTTCTTCTGCCTCTTCCTCCTCAGCATCCTCTTCCTCCACTGGTGGTGGCTGTGTTCCCTGAGCCTGAAAATAACAGTGCAGCTCCAATGATGTTCACAGTTTTAAACAGATAAAAAAGGCTGTGGGACGGATTCTGATTTTACGGCAGCAGCAAATCGTTATCAAATTTGGACAGGTCAGTGTTTAGCACTGAAGCATGATCGCTTCTTTTAACAACAGTCCTTAACTGTCTAAGAACTGGGAAGAGATGCAGGGGGTTTGGTGGGGAATGTTGTCCCGTTTTTGTCTAATGTAGGATTTTATCTGTTCAACAGTCCTCAGTCTTCTTTCCTTGAGTTTTTTTAATGATCATCAAAGAGTAAATGTCAAATGTCTTCAGTTGGTGATAGACCTGGACTGAAGGCAGGCCAGGTCAGCACCTGGACAATGCCAGAGGCACTAATGCACACCCATATCATCTGAAAGGCAGGTGTTTAAACTGTGTGCTGATAGCAGTTTGGAGTTTCGCTCTCTTCTCGGGTTCAGGGCACATGGCACCTCTTCATTCTTAGAAGAATCTTAAATTTGTATTCGTCCGGCCACAGAACAGTTTTCCATTTAGTCTCAGTTTGTTTTAAATGAGCTTTGGCCCAGACAAGATAACAGTGTTTCTGGATAGTGTTCACATCCATCTTCTTTTTTAATAACAGAGCTTTAGCCAGCAACTGTGGAAGGCACAATAAAAGGTGTCTACACCAGGGGTGCCAAAACCTCTTCCCCGAGGGGACCAAAATGAAAATCTATCTGTGGCCTGGGGGCCAAATGTTATAATATGATACATGAAATCTAAATACATATATTTTTTATGATTAAGCTAGCAGTCTATGCAGTGGCCCACATTCTTTTTTTCCTTTTAGCCCGTGCACTTGGAGAAAGTCAGACGAACACTCAGACAGCAAAGGTTCATGGCATGTTTCATAAACTGATAAAATGAGTATTTGTGGTTTTATAAAGTGTGCAAATCTACATGTGTGCTTAAATCCAATCGGAATGTCTCTTGTAGTTATTTGTATTTCATGATAAATTTTAACATAATTTAAAGATACAATATGCAGTATGAGTTAAAACTATCTGCACTACAGGCTCTTATTTAGTCATCGGGCCAAATGATGGAATGACTAAGTGGAAATACACTGTTTCTACATAGAGATTTTAATCTAGTAACAAGGACAGCTGCTGGTAGGCCAAATCAAAGAGATTGGTCGGCCAATTCTGGTCTGCAGGCCCCAATGAGGGAATCTCTTTAGATGATGCTGTGAACTGTAAATTATGGGATATTCAAAGTTAACTAAATTTTTATCTGAAAAAAAAAACCCACTCTGAAATAATTCTACTGTTTTGAGATGCAGTTTTTTGCAGGCTGGTAAACCTCTGTTTTACTTCTGAGAGATCCAGCCTCTCTAAAATGATTGTTTTATACCCAGTCCACTTACTGACCAGTTCCCAATTACAAAATGCTCCTCCAGCTGTTCCTTACAGCTTTCTGTTGCTCCTGTCCCAACTTTTCTGAAATGTGTTGCTGCCATCAAATTCAAAATTACATTTTTTTTCAAACAAAGTTGAATGATTTCTTAGTTTACACATTTGATACAGTTTCTCATAAACACGGGTTCATGAGATTGTCAAATCATTGCATTCCAATTTTAACTATACTTCAAACGCCCCAATGTTTTTTGAAGTTGGGGTTGCCGTCAAAGAACGGCAGGCAATAAAGACATTGTATCTCCTTATCAGGAAAATCTTATCTGAGAAAGCAGAACAGTGAAGGATCTCTTTTTGACACACAGATGACTGAACACACTAACAATGTTTGTTATGTCTGAAAAGTAAAAAGAGGGCATAATTTCCATGTTATGCTGCATTAGTTTGCATGAAGACAGATAAACTTATGCAAACTGCAGAGATGCTTGCAGCATTACAGATGTAATGCTGTCAAGGAGGACTCAAATGTTAGATTTTCACCCATCAGCTAAAACCTCATGTTCTGCTGTGTCAAAATGAGACCCCCTTCAGATTAGTAGACAACGTTTCTGTTAATAACATTTCCCCATGCCGCAGACATACACATTAAACAGACAACCTGTTTATCTGTGTTCTCCAAGGAACACTTGGTTAGTGACTATTTAAYACGACACTCAAGAGGTTGGTGTTGCTACCTGGAATCCTCCTAAAGATGGAGTGCTGATAATAGCAGTTATATCATCCAAACTGGTGAAGTTTTGAAACCTGCCGGTGCCATTCTGCTGTCAACAAAACATAAAGAAATATAAACTCAAATAAAATAAATGCAGTAGGAAATTGAAACAAACTGAAAAAAAAAAAAGACTAATCACTGTGTGTTTATCCTTTAAAATGTGTTTTAGAGCAGCTCTCAACAGATCAGACGTCTGCTGGTGAAAAGCCAACAGAAACAAAAAGCAGATAAAGCTGAGTGTCTGCGAAACATGACGGATGGAACAAGGGCATAATGAAAAGGAGAACATGATGAGCTTTCAGAAACTAGGGGATATAAATGTGCTCCAATCAAATAAAAAATATGATTGAACCCATCAAGTTTAACAGGGCTTCAACAACTTGGTGAAAAGAGACACAGGAACAAATCCTGAAAACCTAAAGATCATTGACTTGATGACAAGCAGACAGAAGAACAAATCAACAATCCAAATGGATCGTTTAACAAAAATCACGTTTTTAACAATTAATAGCATAAGATAATCTGAAGAGAGTGAATCTTGCATAAAATTGTGCCTGTCATCTGTAAATCATTTTTACATTATTATTATTATTATTATTATTATTACTATTATTATTATTATTATAGGACTTCTTGAATGTTTTTGTTACCAGAAGCAGGTAAGGTTTAACGGCAAGGCCCTGTCACACTATTATTTAAGCCAGTTTAGGTGAAGAGACTGCCTGTCTCTGCGACTCACGCAAGGAAATTGAGAATCCGGCAAATGTATTGCAACGTTTTGGAGACTACTCCGCTGATGTTGTTCACCAACTAATCACCACACAGTCACAACAAAATGAGATACTATCATTACGCCAGTAACTCACTGAATTAGTTAAATGGCATTCCTCATTGCCTCAAAATGATTAGTGGGGATTCTCAATTTTCTCATGTGAGTCGCATTTGTTGTAAAACACCAGCTGAAACGAGCAAAAAATAGATAAAAATAGCAGAAAAAGCTGAAATGTGCTGCAGAAAGAGCACATTTGTTGAATTAAGCAGTAAAAAGCAGAATATTTCACCAAAAGATGAATTTAAATGAAAAAGCAGAAAATAGATTTTTTTTAAGAAGTAGCTAAAGGGGCAAAAAAAAAAAAATCGCTGAAATTTGTAGAAATTAGCTAAAAGAAGCAAWAAAGCTTAAATAGCAGAAAGAAGCTTATGGAAGCCTAAAAACATTTAAATGAACAGAAGAAYAGCTGAAAGGTGCAGAACGATTACTGAAAAAGACTAATTAGCAAAAAAAAAAAATAATAAAAAGCTGAAAGAAGCTAAAATTAGCACAAAGAAGTAAAAAATAAAGCAGAGCCAGAACAAAATGTGAAAAGTGCAGTAAATATTTATAAACATTGTAAAGGGTTTTAAAGATTTTAAAAGTAACTTATTTTTAATGAGAAAAAAAGGCCGAAAAAGCTAAATATCTGAAAAAGTACAAGTTGCTGAAATATCAAAAGTCATCGCAGCCATGGCATAAATGAGCTGAACGTTTTAAATAAAAATTTTTTTGAAACAGCACAAAAACTGTGGAATGAGTTAGATGCCAAAAAAATGCAGGGAAGAAACAAACATCATAGAGTGAATGCTCAACAGCATTCACTCTATGATGAACACAAGCACAGCTTAATGTAAGGGGAGTAAAACACAGCAGTTAAACCAAGATGAGACGAATAATGTGACCATTATTTGCTTTTTGCACCCCCCCCACCCCCACATTCCTAAAAAGTTCATGTGATTATTGAAACACGCCATGATTACACAGTAGTTAGATGTAGATACAGTAACAGTAATTTGAGCTGCCAGAGTAATAAGCAGTTTTTCTGTGGCTGATTGTTTGCTGCTGACCTCTAAGTGGCTCTGTGCTGGTGCGGCGGTGCTGCTAGTGTTGACGTCCCAGAGCGTGGGAACTGTGTCCAGGTTGTCTCCGCTGACAAAGGGTTGAGCGTCAGCATACTCTGACAGAGAGTCAGTCGGAGAGGAGAATAGAGAGTTTGAGAGGTCATCAATGCAGGACAGGTCCTGCAGACAGGGAGAGAGATCAAAAGAAACAGAGGGAGGGATTTATTACATCATCTGACTTCACCAATCAAAACAAAAATGTKTAAAACCAGGTGCAGCTCTTCGACATTTATTCTGATGCCAAAATTAGACAAAACATAATTCATAGTTATGTAGCCATTATCAGGCACRGCGCATTAAAGAAATGAATGTAACATAGATCAAAGATTAAAAACCAGCCTATATATTATGATATATAAAAYCAAATCATTTTAAATAAACAAAAAGTAAGCCACTTCGTAATAAACCTTAAGGCAAGTAAAAAACACAGTCTAATGCATTATCAATAAACAGATTATTCATGACTTTGAAAACACTTTGCAAAGCATTATAATTTATAAAACACTATTTTTWAAGCTCACTGACATGATCAAGTGCTGTACTATTAGTCATGTTTTCATAATTTAGATAAAACATGGCAGTATGTTAAAAGCATTTGTTTGTTTTGGCATAAAGTTATTAATCAGTTCAAAATATGAGCTGAGCCACTAAATTATTTTACCTGAATAAATAAAGTACAAAATATGATGTTGCAAAAAAAAAAAGGAAGAAAAAAGTGAGCTTCAATGTATAAACAGTGTTTTATAACAGTTTTTTATGTTTAAGTTTTTTTCAGCTGTTCATACTACAGGCCCTTCTAAAAAATAGATATATGCATAATGAAATATGCTAATTTTTTGAGAAGGACCTGTATTTCAAGTGCTCACAAACTCATGAAAAATTTATTTAAAAGGCTTTACTAAATTCCATAATAAACAGACCCTTATTAGGAAGTGGTTCCCATTTTTCCAGCTCAAAGTGCCAATAAAATTTTGAACTAAGGTTAGAAAATTCTGTTTTGCTGACAGAACCAAACTAAAAACAAATGTGTAAAATCAGGAGAACAAGAGCGCTAATTTATTGTCACAAGTGTCTGTTTTACAAGTAATATGTCTGATCAGCCAAGAGACTTTTGCAATGTTTTGACCAATGAAATGTCATTAGAGTAGTAGAAAATGGTAATGAGATGCTGTCAAACAAGAAAAACAGAGCTTTCTTTCCCAGATTTTATTTTGTGTAGCATAAAGGACCTTCATGCTACACTGGAAAGATGACGTGATTTCATATAAGACTGGTGAGAATCCCTTTTCACAAAGTAAAAATGACCCACCACTGCCATCCACAGCCAACACATTGTTTCAACCACCGCTTCAGCACAAGCAGCCCAATATCTAATCAGATGTGTGAAAGAAAGAATGTGAGCCAGAAAACAAGGGAACAATGTACAAAACCAACAGTTTCATCATTTCAGTTATTGCTACAGTCTATTTTTCCAAGTCGTTAGCATGCTCAGTACTTGCCCCTCATAGACATCCTATGGCCCCCAGAGGGGCAAATAAACATGAACGTGTTGAGACAGTGAGTGGATGATAAGGGTGGTGGGGCATGAGAGACAAACTAAACAGAAGCCGTGGCTGTTTTGGGGAATTTGACCTCTTCGTTCTACAGTCTTTGGATGAATATGTCTGCACTTTGGACCATGTGTGGAAACTGCACCCCAGTCCACACTTCCTTCATAAACACACATATATAACGGTACAAACAGTAAATAATAGCTGACTGCACACACTACAGGATATTATTACAAAACTGGTGCCAGAGGGAGCAATGCACCATTTCCTGTGACCTCATGTGGTTTATTGAGAAAGCAGGTGCAAATAAATTGGATACTCTTGAGAAACACCGTGTTGTGACATTAGCTCAACTTTGCAGAGAGAGATAATGCATACAGAGAACAGAATTAAGATGAGTAAACTGTTCAATGTGGGTTGTTTGTCTTTAGCAGGATCTGGAGAGCAGGGTTTGACTGTCAGCTTTAATATTTGTCAGAGGCAGCTTGTAAACATTTGCTCAAAGGGGTACGATGTTCACTGTTGCTTGGCAAAGCTGCTGAGGGGTTATGAGCAACTCTTTAAATGTCAGACATGCTTGATATCATTGACATCACACCTTAGACATKAAATCAGTTTGGGAGCTTGAGAACAAACATCACAACCTAGGCTGTGTCCAAATTCAGGGTCTGTGTCCTTTGAAGGACCCAGTCTACCTACTCTAGGCGAAGACCGGTAGAAAGTGGCTGTGCATTTGGATGGTCTAGCCTTCAGCTGTACTCCCACCCTCACCCTGGTGTATGTCCTGGCAACCATGACAGCACTAAACAGAAGCAATCATGATTGAAAATAGCTCAAAATTAGCTAAATATTAATATAAATATTAATATTATTAACTAACAAAATTCTATTAGAGGCAATACATGAAAAACTAGGGACCCACCATATAAGACCATTTGATTTCTGACAAGATTAATATTAAAAAACATGTCTATAAAAATGATACTTTGTCCTCTATTACGAGCAAACAATCTCCCAGTTGGCAATGAATCTTGGGGCAGGATGGGCCGAGAAGAATCCACCAGACCTGTCCCTCAAATCGGGGGTGATGGGGGTCGCATTTGTGGGCTGCAATTGGAAGAGCCTTCAAATTTATACAGCCTTCAGCACATTGATTAAATTTGACCTTTGAAATACGCCGTCCCAACACAGCCCCAGGCTTCAAGTTGTAAACTAATCTGATAATTCATGTTTTCATGCACATTTTTCTGCTTATGTCTCTTTATTAAGAGCCAAGCTAATCTATATATATTTATACATATCCATTTCTATTTATTTTCTGTTGCTAAAAGGAGGGCGATAACATTTTCACCCAAGTCTTTATGTGTTCATATGTCAGTTTGTTATATCCCATGAACCACTGGATGGATTTAAAGGTAATTTGGGTATGAAACAACTTTTGAAGTCAATCCAATAAAAGTCAGCCAACACAGCTACTTAACATTAGCTAACACAAACATGGCTATAACTCAGTCCGTTTAACAGATTTTAACCTAAACTTTGATGCGGTAGTTGAGACATTCATGTCACGCCTTTGTTTTTTAAGTTTTGACTAAAGTAAGCACGATGTGCTTTTAAAACTGAGAATGACTTCTAAAAATAAAGATTATGCAAGGAGCACGAAGTTCAAAATCATCCAGTAAGAGATAAATGATCAGTTCAGATGCTGCTGACTCAGTTTTAACAATACAGTATGCTGCCTCCAAATAATAGTGAGAAGCTGCTTGTGAGACATTACTCACATTTCAACTGAAATTGTTTCACAGACACACAAATGTGAGACCTGGAGCTTTAAAAGTCAACATGACAACACCATGTGGGAATGAGACACTGTGAGGATGATTAAGAGCAGGCAGCCAGAAAAACCTGGCTCTGCACAGTGCATGCTTATAATACATGGCTATATTATTACCCTCTGACATTAAACAGACAAACTAATTTCCTGACAACAACATTTAGACGGACGTCATTTTGAAAGGAGCACTGGACTTATCAGAGTATTCAGTTAATACTCTGATTATTGTTTGTTGTTCAACACTATCACTATATCTCTCTTTCCCCATTTCTCCTTATGTTTGTTTGTGTGTGTGTGTGTGTGTGTGTGTGT